GATATTGGTCTGTAATTCTCTTTCCTGGTGGTGTCTTTGTGTGGTTTTGGTATCAGGGTAACTGTAGCTTCATAAAAAGAGTTTGGCAGTGATTCTTCTGTTTCTATATTGTGAAATACATTAAGGAGTATAGGTATTAGCTCTTCCTGGAAGTTCGTATAGAATTCTGCATTGAAACCATCTTGTCCTGGGCTTTTTTTGGTAGGGAGATTTTTAATAACAGCTTCTAATTCTTCACGACTGACAGGTCTATTTAGATTGCTCACCTGTTCTTGGTTCAACTTTGGTATATGGTACTTATCTAAAAAAATGTCCATTTCTTTTACATTTTCCAACTTTGTGGCATATAAATTTTCGTAGTAAGATCTAATGATTCTCTGAATTTCCTCTGTGTCTGTGGTTATGTTCCCCTTTTCATTTCTGATCTTATTAATTTGCATGTTCTCTCTCTGCCGTTTGATTAATTTGGATAGGGGTTTGTCGATCTTGTTGATTTTCTCCAAGAACAAGCTTTTTGATTCATTGATTCTTTGGATTGTTTTCTGTGTTTCTATTTTGTTGATTTCAGCCCTCAGTTTGATTATTTCCAGTCTTCTACTCCTCCTGGGTGAATAAGCTTCTTTTTTTTCGAGATCTTTCAAGTGTGCTGTTAAGTCTCCAATGTGTGCTTTCTCCGTTTTCTTTAATTGGGCACTTAGTGCTATGAACTTTCCTCTTAGCACTGCTTTCATAGTGTCCCATAGGTTTGAGTATGTTGTGTCTTTATTTTCATTAAATTCAAGGAAGACTTTAATTTCTTTCTTTATTTCTTCCTTGACCCAGGGGTGATTCAGTAGTTGACTGTTCAACTTCCATGAATTTGATGGCTTCCTGGGGGTAGCACTGTTCTTGAATTCTAACTTTAATCCATGGTGGTCTGACAAGACACAGGTGGTTACTAATATTTTTTTGTATCTGTGGAAGTTTGCTTTGTTACCAAGTATGTGGTCAATTTTCGAGAAGGTTCCATGAGCTGCAGAGAAGAAGGTATATTCTTTCCTATTTGGGTGGAATGTTCTATAGATGTCTGTTAAGTCCATTTGATTCAATATCTCCAATAATTCCCTTATTTCTCTGTTAGGTTTCTGTCTGATTGACCTGTCCATTGGTGAGAGAGGAGTGTTGAAGTCTCCTACTATTAGTGTGTGTGGTTTGATGACTGCCTTGAGTTCTAGAAGTGTTTCTTTTACATAAGTAAGAGGCTTTATATTAGGGGCATAAATATTCAGGATTGAGACTTCCTCCTGATGAATTGTTCCTGTTATGAGTATAAAATGTACGTCTCCATCTCTTCTGATTGATTTTAGTTTGAAGTCAATTTTGTTGGAGATTAGAATGGCCACACCTGCTTGTTTCTTAGGTCCGTTTGCTTGAAAAACCTTTTCCCAACCCTTTACTCTGAGTAAATGTCTGTCTTTGTGGTTGAGGTGTGTTTTTTGTAAACAGCAGAATGTTGGATCCTGTTTTCGTATCCAGTCTCTTAGTCTGTGCCTTTTTAATAGGTGAATTGAGTTCATTAATATTAAGTGATATTAATGACCAGTGGTTGTTGACTCTGGTTATTATTATTTTTTGTTTGTTTGTTTAATAGAGTTTGTATGTGTCCCTTCTTTGAGTTAAGCTCGTGAAGGATCGCTAGATGTCTGAGTTATTGTAAGCAGTGCTGGCAATGTTGGACTCCTTGGGTTGCGATTTTCCTTCTATTACTTTCTGTAAGGCTGGGTTTGTGGCTGCGAATTGTTTAAATTTGTTCTTATCCTGGAATATTTTGTTTTCTCCATTGATAGTGAATGATAGCTTGGCTGGGTATATTAGTCTGGGCTTGCATCCATGGTCTCTTAGTTTCTGCATTACCTCTTTCCAGGACCTTCTGGCTTTCATGGTTTCCATAGAGAAGTCCGGTGTAAGTCTGATAGGTTTACCTTTATAAGTTACTTGCCCTTTTTCCTTTGCAGCTCTTAATATTCTTTCTTTAATCTGTATGTTTTGTGTTTTGATTATTATATGGCGAGGGGATGTTTTTTTTTGATCAAGCCTATTCGGTGTTCTGTATGCTTCTTGAACCTTCATAGGGATATCATTCTTTAGATTGGGAAAGTTTTCTTCTATAATTTTGTTGAATATATTTTCTGGGCCTTTGATCTGCAGTTCTTCTCCTTCTTCAATCCCTATTATTCTTAGAATTGGTTTTTTTATTGTGTCCCAGATTTCTTGAATGTTTTGTGATGAGAATTTGTTGGATTTGCTGTTTTCTTTGATCAGAGCATTTATTTTCTCTATGGTATCTTCAGACTCTGAGATTCGTTCTTCCATCTCTTGTATCCTATTGGTTATGCTTGATTCTGTAGTCTCTGTTCGTTTACCTAGATTTTCCATATCCAGCCGGCCCTCGTTTTGTGTTTTCTTCATTGCCTCCATTTCAGTTTTCAGTTCTTGAACTGTTTCCATTACCTGTTTGATTGTTTTTTCTTGGTTTCCCAGTATATCATTCATGGATTTACTCATTTCTTCGATGTTTTTTTTATATTTTTCATCCATTTCTTTACTCATTTCTTCAATCTTTTTGTTATACTTCTCATCCAGTTCTTTAAGGGAGTTATTCATATCCTGTTTAAGGGACTCTATTGCTTTCATAATGGTATTTTTTCCCACTTCTTCTGAATTAAGAGGTTCAAGTCCTTCTATTGTAGGGTCATTGGGTTCTGGTGATTTCATGCTGCTTTTTAGATTGTTGGAGGAGTTCTTGCCTTGGCGTCTGCCCATCTCTTCCTTCAAATGCTCTCTACTGGATCTTCTAGTACCAGGTCAGGTTCCCTTGTTGGGCAGGGAATTCACTGACAGAAGGCCTACCTTTCCTCAGGCAGACTATTGAAACACAGGCACTCCCTACTACCGGGTTGCACTCACAACCCAGGCCCAGCGAGCAAGGGAGTTGCTCTGGGGAGATCTTGTGGCCCCAGAGGGAAGGGGGGAAGAGAGGAAGGTGTTCCTGGATAGAGGCTGGGAAGGGATTCGGGAGAGCTCCGCAGGGAGGAGTCGCCTCTGCCTGGTGACCAGATTGTCGAGGGGGGCGGGGAAAGGCTGAATTCCTCCTAGCTGAAGCCCTCTGGCCAGGAGAAAACTCACCCCTCCTCCAATGGAAGTCTGCTAGAAGTTCACTCTCTCCTGGATAAAGGCTGGGACGGGATTCAGGAGAGCCTTTTTATAACTCTTAATGTCTCTTCACTACTTTAGGATTACGGAAATAATCATTAACATGACCAACAGATCTTGCGTAATCTTATCTTCAGTCTCACATACTAGTTTCTTGTCTCCCTGCCCCACACCTTTGATGTTCAAGTCCATTTCTTACTTGGTTCTAAGTACTGTATTTGTTCATAAATATTCCATCTTGTGTTTTGCCATTTTCTTTTTGTTAATTCATATATATTAACTTGTAAATCCCATGTTACTTTTACCCCTCAGAAAAGCCATTATCTTCAATTATAATAGGCACTTTTATATGAATGCTGACATCGTATTTGGTATTTCTTTAATAACTACACTTACTAGTCTAAAATTTCTTAAAGTTTAAAAATCATATTGTGTAGGTGTGTGTGTGTGTGCGTGTGTGTGTGTGTGTGTGTGTGTGTGTGTGCATGAAACCGTGTGAGTTTGCAATGTGTTTGCTGTAAGATGGGAACTAGTGCCATGGTGCAGGGTTGGATCTCAGAAGACAAACTTATAGAGTTATTTCTGGCCTTCCACCTTTATGGAGGTTGTGAGGATTGAATTTGGGTTGTAGGATCATATTGGAAGTCCCTTTACTCACTTTGCCATGTCTCCATCCAACAGACACAGGGATTTTTTTAATTTGGGTATTTACTTTTTGACTATTTGCCTTCTTTGTTTAGTGCATAAACTCTTTATAAAGGTAAGTCCTTGTTTACTCTTGTTTTGGAGCGTATCACAGAGAAGTCATTCACTTATTTTTGTCAATCAATATTTCAATAAGAACCAGATGTGGAGAACTTTAACTCTTTTTCTTTTATTTCACACAGCATGTTAAGGTACTGTTTAATTTTGAACATTCAAAAATATTCTATACATTCATCTTTGAGATGCTCCACGATTATTTTTTCAAAAAGGGAGAACTTGTTCCATTGGTCAAATGATGGTCTTTGGCTCTAATTGTCCAAATTTATAGTTGTTACATGCTTCACTGCTGTTTGCTAGTCTTCTTGAGTGTATAGCCAAAGGAAATGAAGTCACCATTCAAAATCTTACTGCTATCTAAAGTTATTCCTATAAATCTTCAACATGTATTCATCCTAATGTCCATCAACAGATGGAAGAGTAAAGAATTTACAATATATGATATATACAGTATATAAAATAGATTACTATTCAGAAATAAAAATGAAATGAAATTCTATCATCTGCAGTAAATTGTATGAAGTTCGGGATATTAGGTTAAGTTAATAAGCCAGACAATGAGACAAATTTTTTGTGTTTTCTTATATGTTGAAACTAAAAAGTCAAATTTAAAGTAGAATTGTGTAATATAGTGATTGCGGAGGGTATTAGTGAAAGAAAGGAATGACAATGCAAAAAGCATGGCAAGATAAGATCAATGCATACCCTATTCATGGGCAAGAATATAACATCAAATACCACTAATGGATGCAATTAACATGTAATAATAAAGTTTTTAATTATAAAAACCATTGCCACTATGAAGTTTTTGGGTTGCCTTTGACACAGGTGGTTGCATAAGAAGGAATCACAAAAGATGAGTTTACATAGAGAAGAGAGTACAGAGAATGTCCAGTGAATAAGGCTGAGGCTGGACATTTGGAATCATCCTCAACATAAAGTCCAAAGAAGAATTAAAGTATGAAGATAACTGGAAGAAGGTATTTTCAACCAAGAGAATAACTGTGTAAAAGAAATCATCTAAAAATACAACTACTTCATCTTACCTTCTTCATATCTTCATAGCTAAGGAACATAATATTGAAGTCATGTCTGTGTTCATACCAGCCTCTTATGTGGTCAAACCAATTGCTTGCTAGGACTGGGAAAAAAAGTAACAAGTGAGAATGCCAAGCTGTGTGTTCATGTAGTGGAGAACAAACTCTGTGCCTCCTTTTCTCGCTTGAAGCATTTAGAAATTAAACGGAGGGCCTGAAATGGACATCCATATCCCTATTTGAAATGTTTAGTGGTTTGGGCGAATAATTACCTGACATTCATAGAAACTTGTCTCTATAATGTTTCTACAGGAGTATAGAAATAATTGAGAAATAAAGGGCCTAAAGCTGCAGGTGGCTTAAAGGCACACTGGTTCTTTTTCCTACTCCTCCACAGAGTTCACATGTCTCTGTTTTTCCTCTTGTTTACTGTCTGCAGTGGTCCAGAATCTGAATATTATCTTACAAGCAAGATAATGCTCTTGTACCCCATAAAGATTTGTCACTTGAATTGGTTTAATAAAATGCTGATTGACCAATATCTAGTCAGGAAGTGTAGGTGGAGTGACCAGACTAGAAGAATTCTAGGAAGAGGAAAGGCAGAGACAGTCATCTTCCAGAGGGAGCAAGATGAAAATGCTTCACTCAGAAATGGTACCAAATCACATAGTTAAACATATAGAAGACTATTGGTTAATTCAAGTTGTAAGAGTTAGTTAATAATAAGCCTGAGATGATAGGCCAAACTGTTTATGTAATTAGTATAAGCTTCTGTGGTGTTTTTCGAGGAGGGGGGACTGAATGACTATGCGCACATGTGGGACAGAAACTTCTGCCTATGGTGATGAGCCTCTTGGCTTAATTAATCCACCTATGTCGTAGAATGAACAATTCCACAGATGCAGTATAAAGCCATACATGGGCTTATGAAAAAAATATAACAACCCTCAGCATTTTCTCTGAAAGAACGGATAATATTACCTTTGCCACTAGTTAAGGAATTGATAGAATATCTGTAAACTCAAATAGTACCTACATGACATGGCTTCATAATCCAGACAATCCTCAAATGCTGCATACAATTGTCACTAGCGATAAGTTCTTTGTGTTTTGTTTTTTGTTTTTCAGGTATTGTTTTCTTGTTCTGGCATTTTTTTCTTGTTCTTTAAACAAATGCCCTGTCCCATTCTTTAAATTATGTTCTGTAAGTCTAAGTATTTGGCTTACTGGAATCTTTTGTGTAATTCATTTCATTCTGGGTCAATGAATTAATACTTACCTCTTCCATCTAGAAACGCTTGCATAAATGTTTCTACAGAATTTGAGTCTTCAAAATTATGCAACCAATTTGAAAAATGAAAGTAAGAGGTCAAAACATCTTTAGGATTTCTGTAGATATAAAGAATCTGTTGGAAGGATAATGGAATTATTTCATTAAGCAAATCTTGATTATGTTTATAAGTTTTTAATACAATTTTATAGTATTCAATAGTGATGACAAGTATAATTATTTCTTCTAGTCTTTGCACTGTAGAAAGTCAAATGCCTATTTATTTATATTTTGGTATTACAAAGAGTACTATAATAAACAACTTTTATCTAGGGCATTTCATGTTTAAGGATGTAGTTCAAATATAGCTCAAGACCATGATGTGTACATCCACTGAAAGAGTCTACCTGATCTAATTGGAGCTCAGCAACTTCAGCCAGACCTGGAAGGAACAAGCATAGGTACAAACCAGTCCCTCTGAATGTGGGTGACTATTGTGTGGTTGGGGCAGTTTGTGGGACCACTGCCACATGATTGTGGCATCAGGATTTCTCCCTACTGCTTGTCCTGACTTTTTGGGAACCTATTCTCTTTGGATAGATACCTTGTTCAGCCTAGATATAGTGGGAGACAATTGAACCTTCCCCAAATCAATGTGCTTTACCCTCTCTGAGGAGTGGTTGGGGGAGATAGAGTGCAGGGTATGTGGAGGGAATGTAAGGTGGGGAGGTATGTATAATTGGATTGGTATGTATAATGAAAAACAATAGCTTGTTTTCTAAAAAAATTAAAAATTAATTTAATTAAAAAGAATGTAGCTCAATTCTCAAAAAGCAATATTATTTGTAATGTTCAATACTGAACAATAATTTGCCTCATGTGATCAAAATATATTATATAAAATTTTTAATTAAAAATTTAAAGGTAAAATTCATTACTCATGAGGGTCAATTGGTACGTATTATGTGATAGCAAAGGAGATAAATCTGAAAACAAAAAACTAATAATCATAATGAAATAATTAGTAATCTATTTATATTCTTCAAATAAAAATGAGCTTTTCCTTCATATCTTTCATAAAAATAATGTAAACATGAGTTAAGAGCATAAGTAGGATAAAAACTCACACATAGAAACAATAATCTGTGGATATTTGTCCACAACATTAGCGCCTGGGTATCTGGGCAGGGGGAGGAGCTCATGCCAGTTTTTGCTACATGAAATACTCTCGTAAAGGAAATAGAGTAAGGGAGTGAGGAAAAGAATAAGAAAGAAAAAACAAAACCTAGAGACCGTATCTCTAGGCTTAAAGAAAGGAAAAAATTTTCAAATGTGAATATATTTAAAAGGAAAATAGGACAGGCCCTTTCAACCCCACCTGCACCAGAAGAAACAGGTGAGTATCTGATATCTTGGCTGGAAAGCCCTGCTCTCTAGACCCTAAACCCTGCACTTCCGACAACAACAGAACCCCCAGCAATCAGGCAGCAGCTCTCTCTCCCATCAACCAACCCCTGCTGTAGGACCCACTGGCCCCACCTACACATGGAGGGACAGCAACTCCTGGAGCCACAGGCCCAAACTGCACCCAGAGGAAGCTGACAGAATTGCACCAGGAGGAAGAGCAACCACCAGAGCTACAGAACCCACTTGTACTGATTGGAGGAAAAGATGCGTAGACAGCAGTGTAAGAATCCATACAACAACATAAAGAGCGGCATGGCATCATCAGAAATGAGTGGTTCTACAGCAACCAGGTCTGAATATCCCAATACACAGAAGAAGCAGAATAAAATGACCTTAAATATAACTTTCTGAAAATGATGGAGGCCCTTAACGAGGAAATAAAAAGTTCCCTTAAAGAAATGGAGGAAAAAGCAAACAAGAAACTGGAAGAAATCAATAAATCCTTTAAAGAAAGTCGAGAATACCATGAAAAAACAACCAGACAAGTGAAAGAAACAGTCCAAGTCTTGGAAATTCAAATAGAGGCAATACAGAAAACACAAACTGAGGGAATTCTGAACATGGAAAAAGAGTGTAAATGAACAGGAACTACAGGTGCAAACATAACCAATAGAATGAAAGAGATGGAAGAGAATCTCAATTCACTAAAGACACAATAAAGGAAATTGATTCCTAGGCAAAGAAAATGTTAAATCCAACAAGTTCTTAGCACAACCCTCCCAAAATTTCTCTTGTCACGTATTAATAAAAACACTAAACATACAGAATAAAGAAAGTATACTAAGACCTGCAAAGGAAAAAGGACAAGTAACATAAAAGGCTGAACTATACAGAATTACTCCAGACTTCTTAATAGAAATTTTGAAAGCAAGAAGGTCCTTGGCAGATGTTATGCAGACAGTAAGAGATCATGGATGCCGGTCCAGGCTACTATACCGAGCAAAGTTCTCAGTCACCATAGACAGAGAAAACAAGATATTCGATGACAAAATCAGATTTAAAAAATACTAGTCACAAGTCCAGCCCTACAAACAGTACAAGAAGAAAAACTCCAACCAAAGGAAGCTAGCTGCACTTTCAAAAAACACAGGTAACAGGTAACCTCATATCAGCAAGTGCCAAAGAAGGGACGCACACAAACACTACCACCACCATCAAAACTAAATAGGACAGCAATTAACAATCACTGGTCATTAATATCTCTTAATATCAGTGATCTCAATTCACTTATGAAATATACATGCTATCAAAATGGATACAAAAACAGGCCCCATCCTTCTGTTGTATAAAAGAAGCACACCTTATTAGGAAAGGATTTTTCAAGCAAATGGGCCAAAGAAACAAGTGTGCATAATCATCCTAATATCTGACAAAATAGATTTTAAACTAAAATTAATCAATAAACATGGAGAAGGACATTTAGCTCATGTCAGGCTAGTGCGAGCTCAGGGACTGTGGACTGACAGGTGGAGAACCTGCATGGGACTGAACTAGACCCTCTACACATGGGTGACAGTTATGTGGCTTAATCTGTTGGAGGGGCCCCTGGCAGTCGCACCAGGACCTATTCCAGGTCCATGAACCTGCTTTTTGGAGTCTGTTCCCTAGCATGGGATACCTTTCTCAGTCTTGATATCAAGGGTAGAGGCTTGCTCCTTCCTCAGGTTAGCATTCTAGACCTTGTTGATTTCTGAAGGAAGGCCTTACTCCCTCTAAGAAGTGGATGGGGAATGAGAATGGGATAGGTGGAGGACAAGGAAAGAGGATAGAGGGGGAACTGGGGCTGGTATATAAGGATGAAAAGTAATTTTTCTTAATACAAATAAGAAAAATAGCAAGAAAAATCAATCAGTTTGATAACACTAAAATTAAGAGTGTTGCTGATGAAAACCCACATGAAAAAAGCAATGAATATGAGCTAAAATAGATTCATATCTAGAAGTGATAGAAAGCAAACTGACCAGAAAAATGTAAAAACATTGAGCTAATGATAGACTCTTTTCACACAATCAAAAATAGTGATGTCCAAAAAACATCCAACATTGGCACTCCCATTACGAGGATGAGGATGCAAATTAACATACATTTGAGACACCTTTTCCTGGCTGCCATGTTGATAAACACCTAAAAGTCTGATATGTCAAGTTACTAGGGAAACACTAAGAAGTCATCTATTGAGCATTTCTGCAAAAATTGACAAATCCACTTTCTTCAGAAATACTCCATCACCTTTGTAAGTGGGGTACTCTGATCATTGTGGCTCCGCAGCTCTATTCAAGGGTGTGGGTTCTAGGGAAGCTGCTGGAAGAGTACCAGGAGACACACTCAAAAATGTTTTAGCAGCTGCATCTCAGTGGTAAAACAATGGAATAGACTAATTATTCAGTACTTAGAGAAGGCATTTCATGGATACAGTAAGTCACTAAGCTCCATGACATACTTTGGCTTTTTTGTTCTTCAAACCTTTTGGCACTAAATAATATGGTAGGTGGGAAGAAAAGATACGAGGCGATGGCATTTTGGCATAGTCCACATTACGAGCATTGTACTCAAAGAATATTGATCTCTCTGTGGTTTGAATGTATTCAGTGTTGTTCCTATGTCCCTCAAAATAAATCAGGCTTAGGATCTGTTGTGTCCAGAAAGTACCTGTAAGAAAAAATAACAATCTTGTTTTCAATCCTGAAGTAGATTTTAATATTGAATACCAACAGTAATGTATCCATTTTACAAATAATTTGGAGCTCTCTTTCCCTTTTCACCACAGGCACGCTTGGACGTGCCCCTTTTTCATTCCCCTTTGTCTGTATTGAACACTCAAGTCAGTAAGGCTGAACTCTTCAACTCTTTGTTCTACTCTTCATGTGGAGTTTTTCATTAATATTTAACTGCTATTGACATATAACATTTGTAGATATTAACAGGTAAATTATGGTATTGCTACTTGTGGATACATACAGTGGGATCAGATCACACCAGAGATAGTGGCACTTTCGTCTTGCTGACAGTTTTTTCCTATTTGGAGCCTTCTAGCTTATTTCTTAATTTTCATTTGATATATAGTAGGTTACAGAATGCCACTTTATTTCTGTTCATGGGCAATTCTGACTCATTTCTGAAATTACCTCATTATTTGCTTTTTTTTAGAACTGTAAAAAAACTGATAGAATTAATATTTCCATTTTCTGTTCTTTTTCTTGCTTTATACTCTCAAATACTTCTTGCCATATTCCTAGTAATTGATCACAGCACACCTATAGAAAGAGGAAACCAAAGATTTCAGTGTTATTGACATTTGGTCTCTAGACTATTAGATCATAATACAGTGGAAGTATTTGGGAAATACATGCAAAATTTCACTTCTATTCCCTTTAAGAATGGATCCCATGTGATCAAATACTGTTGTGCTGTACTTAGGTTTAGCCTTAATATTAATGGATATCCCAGATAATTCATTGGTGGCAAGGTAGATTTGATTAATCCTTAATTATTAATGGCTAGTCCAGATAATTCACTGGTAGTGGTGTAGATTTGATTAACCAGTCACTATTCCAGTGAGGAGTGATCGTACACCATATAAAGCAGAGCCTGAAATTTTGAAAGAGCTGATCATGACAAGACATCCCAGATGCCAGGGCTTCTGACAATGAATGTATCGGTATCCTCTGTGGCATAATATAAATGCTCATCACCTATTTCAGTCTTCCTGAGGACTTCTAGAAGCATCCAGTGGGTCCTCAGGGACTGAATTATTTAATTATTATCTACAGTGAACCAGGAACTGCCTCACAGTGTCCTTCAAGTTCTCTACCACATTAAAGATCAAAAAAATGGAAAGCAATGTAGGATTTGATATGAACAAAGAAATATTTTTGCAAAACATTTTCATTTACTGAAATGGTCAAATATAGATGCAAAATCTTATTACTTTACATGGACAGTGGGGGTGGGGTGCGGATGTGAAATCTTAACACTTATAGCTTTACTATTTAGTCTGTGTTAACCACTGAAGAAACTTACTCCAATACTTGTAAGTTTTACCTTCTGCTGAGGTAAAAGTACCTTTACAAAAGGAACTTCAGTTCACCTTCATGTCCAACAGAAAACAGGAGTCAAACGGAAGTACTTGTGCTTGCTTGTCCTGATTAGCTTCCCAAACCTCAAGGCTTTCACATGTCCTGGAAGTCTCACTGTTTTAAGACTTTTTTTTCTATTCATGAGAATTTTAATTACATTACAGCTGTCCTGAAAATCTTGTCAACAGAACTGCATGCATTGGAAATTTAATCATTGTCAGAGATAAAGTCTCTACATAATAAAACACGTATCTTTTACAGAAAAGGTTTTTCATTATCTCAGACCTGTTCAACAGGTTAAGGAAACCTGTCATCATTTACCAACAAACTGCTGCTGGCTCCATATTTGCTTCTCACCCTCCAGCATTTTTCCACAGTAAATTACAATGTATACATGGCAAGTGTTCTTATCCATAGAGAATTGAGATTTATTTACTTTTTGAAAATACATTGTTCTAAATTATAGGTTACTGTGATTACAGATACTGATGTCTGATGGAGTTTAGCATATTCATGGAGATAAATCATTGGACATGTATGAGGGGTTATCTAGGTAAGGTTCATCGAGTTGGACTGTCGATGTAAGTTGACAAGGAACCTTGACCTGCTGTTGGGACTTCTTCAACATAATGATGTATTCTGTTGCAGCAGTGAGAAAAGAAACTAATATTGTTGAAATGACAGTGTGTGGAAAGTAGAATATTTATGCACTTATTATCAAAACAAACCAATGTACAGGATAGTGACAGAGCTCGCCTTTAAGCCCAGCACTTGGGAGGCAGAGGCAGATGGATCTCTGCGAGTTTGAGACCAGCCTTAGCTACAACAGTAAGTTCCAGGACAGGATCCTAAGTGACAGAGAAACCCTGTCGTGCAAAAATAAACAAAATAAACAAACAAGCAAGAAACAAAGCAAAAACAAATGCCACATGGCCTATTTATGCCACTCACCAGATTTTGGATATGTGACTATGAAGACATCATCATCTCTAATTTCCTGATTGTCGGTATTTTCCATTATGTTCATTTTAACTAAAGACCGTACAAAGTTATAGCCTTTGAAGTTAAGTAATTGTTCACCTTTATTGTCCATATTTATTTACCTAGAAGAAAAAATTATAAAATTTTTGTCATTATCATAGTATTTTTCAACATTAAGTAAGGCTTTTGAGTGGTGGACATGTATGAAGCATGACAAAAATGTCCCTCACATATTAATATTTTCTACAATAATCAATTACATATCCTAGATTATTTAAATTTATAATAATTTTATGTTACTACATTTTTATTATCACTGTATAATATATGAAGAAACAAACATAGGAGGAAGCAAGAAGTTAGTAATATTTTTCTATAATTCCAGAAGGGAAAGGTGATCTTACTTCTAAACATACAGATGAGGAAATTAGGGTATGGAGAATACAACCAAGTTATTCAAGGTTGTCCAGTTGGTCAACTTACAAAGAAGACAGCACACAATTGGGGCAGAGTACGTGTTTGTAACTGAAGAGTTTATTTGTATAATAAATTTTTATTCCTTATTTATGGTTTGTATTACACAGGTCCATCTTTCTATAATGCATGACAGCCATAATTCCAAACAACCTTCAGACCACAATTTGTACCTGTCACACAGAAGGTGGTCACCTAGCCTTTTGAGAAAACCTGACATCATCCTAACCAAAGGGTCAGGACATGCTAATGCCACTCTGAGACTTCTATGGTAATTTAGAAGGTTGCCTGGGAAGAGGTGGTAATTCAGTCTATGTGAGAGAATAGCAATAGTTGCGGATGTGACCTAACTCATCCTCCCATGCTACCCATAAAACAAAATACTAAGGAACATCCCCCTCAGTTTACCTTTTGATATGAAAGTTTTTTGGATAATAAACACAGGTGATCTTCAAGATTTGAATGAACCCTGAGACTCCCTCCTGATATTAACATGTGATTTGTTTTTTTTTTTATTCCCATGCCTCCATTCAGGTTCAAGAAATAATTTATGTTTGGGCTGGACCCCAACATAGTGGTATCCAATGTGGGACTGATCGTTAAACCCTAAAAATCACTGAAGAAGTGTCCAGACATATGGAGAAGAACACGAGTATTCCACGAGAAAATTTAACCACAGGTAATGAGTGAGTAATGAGCACTCAGAAATAAAGAATAGATTTTTTTAAAAAAAAAGAAAAAACAGAATAAAGCAGTACAATAAAATTGAAAGTAAAAAAATGTAAATATGTTGAACTATGGGGGAAGGAAGAAGCAATCAAATAGCCATACAGTTAATTGGGGCTATATTAAAAGAGAGGAGCAAGAGTATAGCAACATCAGGTACAAGAAATTTTAGAATTTATAGAACAGCTATGCCCTCAGTTTTCTGAGTGCAGGACTTTAGATGGGGCAGCACAGAAAGAAGTTAGGATAAGGATTCAACAATATTACTGTAATTATGGACCAGAAAGCTTCCCTGTAGATTCACTTCACTTCTGGATCCCAATACAGGAAAGGTTGGACTAAAATCCCATACAGCAGGAGATACTTCCATCTGAGTCAGTTAGAAGTGAGACAATACCCTCTTCACCACCAGAGAAGTCAAAAGACGCTGTCATAGAACTGAGTGTTCACAGTCAGTCAGAGCCTAATGAATTAGAGAACTATGAAGAGGAATCTTCATCTCCCTCACTAATAACCAGCAATGCTGAAACACAGGGAGATGATAATGAGGCTCAGATGAAGCTAAAAGGCTTGATAAAGTTTTGTCTCACTATAGCAGAGACTAGAAACTCTGTGGATCCAGGACTCTTGCCAGAAGAGCAATTCTTCCCCTAGCATAATAACTGGTTCAGATTCACCTATGGTACAAAGAGCTCTGAAGGTTAAGCAAATGCCTTACAATAGTAATAAATCTCATTTATAAGCTTTTATCCACTAACAGAGGGGAGAGATGCAAGAAATTCAATTGTTTTTCATAATAAAGCAAAGAGATGCTCAAGGAAATTTTCTTAGTATACACACCCCATTTAAGTTAGTCATCATTTAAGTTACTCAAAGAATTTAAAACTGACTGATCTCAGTATCCAATGGCCCCATTTACCCAGATGCTGTTAGAAAATACAGCAATAGACTCTCTGCCCCCAGGGGATTAGAAGAAGATAGCTGAAGCTTGCCTGTCAAGAAGAAACTATTGTTGAAAACCAAATTTGAGAACAATGTCAGGCCACAGCTGAGGGAAACAGAGCTCAGCAGATTCCTATTTCCTATTAAATGCTTGCAGGTGAGAGACCTTATACAGGGGCAGATCATCAATTAGACATTGATGTAAGAAGGCCTGGAATAGACTTCTATTGTGAGAAGAACAGACTCAGAGGTTGTCTACTATGAGATAGGGACCAGATGACTTATTTCAGAACTTTGTTTCCAGGATAACACAGGCATCTAATAAGTTGATTGGAGACACAGAAGAAGGCTTGGTAATAGTTAAACAACTAGCCTTTGAGAACAATAATGCTTTATGTAAGGTGGCTCTAAAGCCTTTTAGAAAGCAGGATATCATTAGACATTATATCCAAATTTGCGCAGATATTGGCCAATTGTATACACAGGGAATGGTCATAGCTGCTGCCTTGCAGAGAAAGACAATTAATGATGTCCTATCCCAGAAGAGAGATCTAGGCCTAGGAAGAATGAAAGCTACAAGACTTCCTGGAAGCTGTTGTGGATGTGGTCTTATGGGGCATCAGGAGAGACAATGTCCTGATAGGAGAGTAAGCCTGAGGACAGAGAGTGAACCAGGATTATGCAGGAGATGCAGAGGAGGAAAACACTGGACTAGTGAATGCATATCAAAAAGAAACAATCTAGGATATCCTCTTTCAGGAAATGGATGCAGGGGTCAGCCTCGAGACCTGAGACAAAATTATGGGGCAATCCAGCAACCTGTTCCCCTACAAGAAAGTCCATTCAGGACCTTTTCAGAGCAACCCCAGTAAGCACAGAACTTCACCTCAGTTCTTCCATATGCATGGTTCTGACACCCAAAGTGGGGATGCTAGCTCACCCTAACATTGTTTATGGGTCCTTATCAAAAGGCACTGTAGGGCTGTTACTAGGAAAATGTTGCACCATTTATGCAAGGAATTATTGTTGCTCCTAGAGTCATTGATGCTGATTTTGAGGGAGAGATCAAGATGATGACTCACTCACCATGTGTGGAATTTCTGTAGTAAAAACAAGTCAGAGGCTTGCAAAATTATTTTTACTCCCTGCTGTGCAAATCAAAAATCAGATTAAGAAAGATAAGAAAGGAAAAGATGGATTTGTTTCATCTGACACCAATTGACTACAAGCCACAGGTCCTCAGACACAAGAAATCACTTTGTTTACAAATGGAAAAAATTTTCTGGTCTTCTATATACTGGCACAGAAATTTCAGTTATAACTTTTAGCCAGTGACCTTCTAAGTGGTCAAAACAGAGACTATGACACATCTACAGGAAATTGGTCAGACTCAAAATCGTGATCAAAGTAGTAATGAGCTGCAATGGAACAATGGAGAGTGTCATGAAGGAACTTTCCAGCCATATATCTTTCCTCGTTAACCCTTAAATTTATGGGTCTAAGATATTATATCCAGAATAGGGGTATATTTATATTCCCCCAGCACAACTGTTACTAATCAAATGTTTCAACAAGGATTATTACCTAATCAAGGTCTAGGCAAGGAAATTGAGGAAAGAATTGATCGTATATATTTCTAGGGCAGGATTAGGGTTTTTTTTTTTTGGTTTGTTTGTTTTTTGTTTTTGTTTGTTTGTCTTGTTTTTTTTGGTTTTGTTTGTTTGTTTGTTTTAGGAGAGGTCACGGAAAAACCTGCACTCAATACAGATCTAGACCAGGATTTACAGAAACAGGTCAAAGCCAGTAACCTAGGTCAAATTAGGCCTAAGACAGCAAACTCAAAGGGAGCAGAACAAAGTCCAGGAGCGCTGAGCAATCTCCAGGATCATGGAGTAATCAATGGGGTAACTAGAACTGTGGCACTCATTGTACCATAAGGAACAACCACCTCAGATTTGGATTCACTGAAACCTAGAAGATTAATCAACAAAATCTCAGATAGCCTCAATCACACCTATTAAAGGAAAAGATGAGTAGAAAAAGTGAGAACACACAGCACCACAAAGAGCAACACCAGTAAAACCTAAAGACCCTACAACAGCAAGACTTGAACAATCAACTCTAGATGAAGCAGAAGATAATGACCTAAAAAATAACTTCAGGTGAATGTTTGAAACTCTTAAAGAGGAAATGAGAAATTTCCTCCATGAAATGGAAAAAAAAGACAAACAAAAAATTGGAAGATATTAGCAAATCCCATAAAGAAAACCAAGAAAAAACAATCAAACATACTATTCAAGACTTGAAAATTGAAATAGAGGCAATAAAGAAAACAGAACCTGTGGGAATTATAGAAACAGAAATCGTGAGAAAATGATCAGGAACCACAAATGCAAGCATGAATAGCAGAATACAAGAGATGGAAGAGAGAATCTCAATTGCTGAAGATACAATAGAGGAAATAGATTCATCAGTTAAAGAAAACATTAAATCTAACAAAAGCTTAACCCAAAATATCCAGACCCAATAGTCTGGAAAAATGATGGGTGGGTGTGCGTAAATCAGTGACCTCTAATAGAAGAAAAATTACAAGCTGTGCTTAAGTCAGTGCAGTAACAGTTGAATAATGGACACATTACACCATCTCATTCTCCATGGAATTCACCAATTTTTGTCATTAAAAAGAAATCAGGAAAGTGAAACTTGATTCAGGATTTAAGGGAGGTTAATGCAACCAATAGGTGCATTACAATCAGGACTGCCATCTGCTACAACAATGACTAAAGGCACCCATAAAATTATTTTATACGTAAAAGATTCCTTTATATACCATTCCTTTAGTACCACAAGATTTCAAAAGATTTGCTTTCGGTATCTACTTTGTTAATTTCAGAGAGCCAATGAAGAGATATCAATGGAGCATCTTACTTCAGGGTAAAACAAACAGTGCCACCTTATGCCAGAAGTTTGTAGCTCAGTC